TTCAAGGTAAGAAAAAGGAGTTCAAATGAAAAATGTTTTACTTGCAATACTTAACATATTTGCACGTATGGATTTTGTTGCTATTTGGATTATTTTCCGAGATGCATGGAAATAACAAAAAAGTATTTTCAACTGTGGGACCATAGTCATTTTTAATATGAGACATTGAAGTAGGTCAAAAAAAAGAAGGATAATTATCAAAAATGAGGAAAGGAGAAACAAGACTCAAAATGAAGGGTCACGATGTTTGGGTATGCGGGTCATAATTAAGAGCAGAAATAATGATCAAAACTAAGAGTCGCGAGGATCAAGTGTAAGAGTAAAAAATATGAGTCAAGTTTGAGGGTAAAAAAAAAGGCTCATAAAAATGAGGTTCGGAAACAAAGGTCAAAACTGAAAGTCACAAGGGTCATAAGGAAAGGTTAAATTGAATAAGAATCCGAATGAAGGTCCAGAAATAATAGTCCAAACTGAGGGTGAGACATCAAGTTCAAATTCAATAAAGATCGAAATTAAGAGTTACCAGGGTCAAATGTGAGGGTCCAGAAGAAAAGTCAAATCAGAGTCATCAATAAGGGTTAGAAATAATCCTAAAAATTATAATAAAGGTGAAAAAATAGCGGTCATTTGTGCTGTTTCGTAAAGTGAAATGTAGATGCGCCAAAGTATAAATTCAAATTTGAAATCGTAGAAAAAAATTATGATGTAACATAGTAAAAATTCAAATGATTTGAGTAATATTTCAACTACTTTTTTCAATAATAAAAATGCATTTTAAAAGAAGCATTTCAGATATTCTTAAATATCATTTTACCATGCCGGTATTTTATACTGTTTCGTTTATTGAAAATTATTATGTTAAATAGTAAAAAAGGAATTTCATATCACAAAAATTCAGTTGAAATATATCAAATTTCGAAGTGTTTCATTTGATCCTCAATATTCTCGGAGATAATTGAAATAGAGAATAAATGCATAACGACATTCATGTTTAGTGTGACAAAAAGAATATATTTTGCACATTTCACATCTTGTGACGTCACAGGATATTATTGGATGGGATGTTTGGAGTAGGTTAGAGGGGTAGGATAGATTTTTATGCAATACTATGATAATGGAAAATAAATTTCGTTTCATTATATATGATGAAAAGAATGGGAATTCCTTATTTTCCATTACCCATTATTATGCTAACAAAAATTGATTTGCTTCTATTATTTACAATGAAAATAATTGGAATTCTTATTTTTCCGTCATCCATTACTATGATAATGGAAAATCAATTTGGTTTCAAAATTCATGAGGAAAGAAATTGAAATTTTCTATTGATATACCATTATTGATTGCAATATTATTTGTTTTTTTAACTTTTATTTCTCATTACTATCGCAATGAAAAATGTATTAGCTATTATTATTTATTACAAAAAAAATAGCATTGAATGTAATGATCTTCTCATCAAAAAGAAACCACCTATCAGCTAATATCTTTCGGAGAATAATGGTAAAGACTTCTTACGAGAGGGAGATCTCTCCCTTATCTGTTTCTGTAAATCCAAGTGAATTGAGGGAAACTATTTTTTTTCTCTCAGTCGCGTGGTTCATTATCCTCAAGGGTGAAGTGGGTCAGTTTCATGGCATTTTAATCCATAGGCCTTCTGAAGAATGACATTGTTTCAATCGTTCAAGGGAATCTTACCAGAAAATAATTTTTTTTTGCCACAATGACCGTAAAGGAAGGATATAAGAGAGATTTTGACCCTAGTTGTATAATCCTCGCCACCAAAGAATGATGCTGGCTGGCTACCCCCACTCTTTCAAATTTAGCTTCGACTCAATTTCCCCCACCACTCAAGGTCATCATCATTCTTTCTTGGCGAGAACTATATCATCGGTGAGATCCCGCCGGGGAATCAACAAAAGAATTGCTGATTTGATGGTGGAAAACCGAATAGAGCTGTGGTTAGTACCAACATGTAGACGGCGCGAGTCTCATCTGTAATTATAATCAAAGAAATTGAATTACCTCCTCGGGGCAGCTGGCACTTCAATTACGACATTCTTTTCGATGGAATTTCGTCATAGCATTTAGATAATTACTAAAACCAATTGCATAACTAATTTTTTTTTATAATGAAAAAAGCGGAAAATTATTTGATCAACCAAATGACTGCGAACATTTTGAGGCTGGAAAGGGAGCAATCCCAGTATCATCAGACTGAAACAGATGGCACAGTATAGTCATCATTCTTATTGGCCTCATCCGTCTCCTCATATTTTTTCAACACGGGTTTAGCGTCGTTTTTGTTTTTTCTATTTTTCCCCATCGTTATCAGGACCCTCTGGGTTCATACACCAACACCGGGTCTGCCTTATTGTGGTATCAAATTTCTTACCTCTTGTGTTAGTTATATGTATCTTCAATCGATTTAGTTTTAGTGACAATCACTGTTGAAGTGGAAAAATGTATGATAAGAGAAAGGTACGAAAACATCGACTTTTCATTCATTTTCGTTCGGGTTCTTTTTATTTTTCTATGGTTTTATGAATTTATGTGAACAAACGATAATCACGGTAATTACAATCGTTTCTACACTATACCGTAAGGAAACGAAATGATTAGTAGTATTTGTTAGAAAAACGGGACAGTTGCAAATATGAATATTTTTCCAGTATAATTTTTAATTGCATTAGTTAGTCGGGACAATCAATCAATTACTCATATTTACCCTTAGGGAATTGTTTGGGCTCAGATTATAATGCAACGTATTCTATCTATCAATTCTATAAGTTCATTGGATGAAATGAAATTAAGGTAGCAAGAAACAATTAGCATTGTAAGTAGCATTGGAAGTCTCGGGCCCAGTGGGGGATCTCAGTCGGGGAGAATCTTAGCCAGGTCTAACTATAATACCCATCACGATGGTTTCTTCAGGTATTGGAAGGTTTTTGGAGTTTGCCCAGTTCATTGCAGTTTCAGAAGATGGCTGAGGGATTGCAATGGGGCCAGAGTATTAGTTTTTTGATTGTGTGAATGTTGACCGGGATGCTGCTGTGTTTTCGGGTCCTTCCTATTTTTCCGAGGTTTCTCCTTCCAGATGGAATTTCTCTTATCTCAGCGGAGTACTGTCCGCTCTAGAAATACAATTTTTTACACACTGTAGCTGGGCTGCCTTTGGGTCTCTCAGCTTTTGCTCATTCGCTTTAATTTCGTTTTCAATTTTTATCATGTGGCAATATTTAATCTGTCTTGAAATATTTATTTGTCATATTGTAGTCTGATGATTATTGTAGATGAATAAATTTGGTCTTGAAGAGGATTACTTTCCGCACTCGAAATATTGGCTGCTCGTTTTCGACTAACTGAGTTAGCTATTGCTGGATATGGCCGCAGAATGGCCCCCAGAAAGAGTTTTCTTTGTCAAACTTTTCTCCACCGACAATATTAACAATACTTTGGGAGGCGAATAATTTTAATTGTTTTTGTGCCAGCTATGATTGCTAACTTTTGCGCGGATTTTCAGCCATATTTGGTCCAGTAGTTGCTCAAATATCACAAACTATTTTATGATCTGAAAATGTGGATTCTAATTAGAATCCTCCTTAAGGAGTGAACTCATGTTTCAGGATTTTGGAAAAAGTTGTTCAGCCCTTGTCTTGTAGAAATGGCAGAGGCTTTCGGAGTGCTATTGTTTGGATGATCGGTTGACAATTTCTTGCAAAGTAATTAGTCAAGTAAAGTAACAAGGACAAGTATGTGTACAAACAAGATAACTCGAATTGATGGATATTATGATAAGGAATACATTGATTCTCGAAGAATTGCTATATTTCAAAAACGGTTTGGATAATTGAGCTACAATCTCGCAGAGATATACTTCCAACCAATGCCCATTATTCCACAAAATTTCATATTTTTAGCTCGAACTTTACTTCTTTTTCGTGAAGATTTATAAAAATACGAAAAATCCGCACATACACATTGAGAGAAAAATCTGAAGTTCGATTTACAATAAGAAAATAGTTGAGGCATTTTGGTGAACGATACGATTTTTTTTGTATGCAGCACATAACATTATAGTAACTTCACAAGCGTAATTTTTGCAAATCAAAATGCAGTTAAACTAACGAAAGTTCAAAAGTAACCACGACAAATTTATCATGAGGAGAACTATAAAATAGTTGCAATGACTACATTCCATGGTAGTAATTACTTCTCCGGCCATAGTTACCGTAACCCATGAAAAAATGTTGAGGACTTTTTGACTATAATTCGATGGTGATGGAATATAGTCAGAAGAATTATATTTTTCTCTCAGTGCATACAGACGTACACATACATTTTCAAAAAAAAACATCATATCTTCACGTTTCGTGGCATTCTACATCATTTCCAATGGAAATTAGAAGATTGTCAAAATGGATGATTATAAAGCTTCCAGCCGGAAGCAGAAAAAAGGAAAGCGCCTCGTTACGCCGTGAGAGCGGCCGATTTTTTGTCATTTGTCGGAATTAGAAAATTACAAAATTTCTTGTCGGTAGAGGTTTCCTGTGAGGAGCAAATTGTAAAATCCAATTGGAAGTGATGAAAAATTGCAGAATTAGTTCATGATTCAACGGCAGTATAAGTAGCTTACACTGTAAGGAATCTAGGCCGAAGATAGGTGACTAGTTGAATGGCTCTATTGTATAAATATTGATAGGGCTATGCCCTGCCTTTCCAAGCCCATAGACATGTCTGTTACGTTGAGTGGAATCGTTGACGAAGACGAGTGGGTGATACAAGAATGCGTTTCGTAGGTTCAATAGAACCTCTATTGGGTAGACTAGACAATGACTAATGCCTCAGTCAATAATGGAAAACATCCAGACACGATCTTTTCTAGACTATTTTGAGAATCTTACGTTCTCCTCGTGTTAGAAAGTAATTGAATGAGGGAGTTGAATGGATGAGATAAATTGAAGCATATAACAACATTCAAGTATTTTCAATTGGCTTACCTTGCACACACTGCGGCAAAGACCCAAGCTAGGAAGCAGAGGAAGGTTGCTCTGGCTTTTGTACAGATGTATCTGAAATTCCGAAACGGAGGAGACTTAGATAGGTACGTGATCGTAATACTTGAAGTATAAGGTTCGAGTAATTGGATTACTATTTTTATACATTATTATCGTCCTGCATTCCATATGTTGGTTCAAAATGCTTCTGATTGAGTCAAAAGGATTTTTTCCGTTAGTTCAGTTTACATTTCAGTGAGCCCTCGATAATTGCATAATCAACGGTCTGTAGAGATATTCCATTTAATGAATTTTACAACTTTTTTGAGCCCCCGCGCCATAGTTCCTGTTATCTCAAATTTCCAGGAAATTCAAAATAAAGTCATTCGAATTTTTGCAATTACGCTCAAGGGACAAAGAAAGGCAATAGAACAGTCAAGTGTGAGGGTATTCAAAAGGACCTGAGTAGAAATTTTAGTAGTTGGCTGGTCAGGCCCTGGTCCGCTGTGCCGTAGAAAAGATTCGGCCCTGTTACGGTTACCACATCAGGGCCTGATAGGAAATGCAACGCAAAGCATGATCAGGACCTGATTTCTAAACCTGATAAGGGCCGTGACAGGCGGCCTGGTTTCGCCCTTACCTCGCATAGACTTTGCTACAAATTAATAAATTGCCAACTGAATTATTAAATTGGGCCAAAAATGGATAATAATAAATAAATAAATGAGGTCCCAGAAAAGACGGGTCGAGAAAAAAAAGAAAAAAAAATCACCCAGAGCGGGACTTGAACTCGGGACCTTCCGCGTAGTAGTTCTGTACCCTATCCACTCGAGGACTGTATCATTCTTAGAAATCATCGTTTGTTTTGAGTATATCAGTAATACTCCCAATAAAATTGTAGTATTGAACTAAATTTAGCATAATATCTATTGGATTATGGGATCAAAAATAATGAACACTTCTAATTGTATTTTCACTTATATCCTTTATTCTCATGAATAATTTCTGACTCTACTTTAACCAGGAGGTACGTTGCTCTACGGATACTCAAGAGAGACTAACTGACAACTAAACTACTTGGGCCTTATTTTAGGACCTTTGGGGCAACAACATTTCCACCCCCCTAAAAGGGGTTTTTCCTTCTCCCTTGACCACTTCTGGTCGCCAAATGTTGCTGAGGGATAGGCAGTAATAAACATAAGCTTGTCCGTAAACTACCAGTTTCGGCATGGACATTTCCCTTTTCTTATTCCCCGGCCCTACTGCAATAAAACCATAAAACGTCTTTCCAGAAACCAAAGATATAAAAACTAGGAGAGAAAGAGTGAATTTTGTACTTGAGGAAATCCCCAAAAATCCAACAATATCATTTAGTATAATTTTCCTGCTCATCATCCCCCCTCCCCTCCGGCCCACCCCCCTTTACCATTTCCATCCCGACTCTTTCTTTGGTGAAAATTTTTTAAATCCCGTACGGCATGCCTTATCCGGATCTGATCATTGCCGGATCGAGTTGGCCATATCCGGTATACTCAACAAGCACTCGTGTTCAATCAAAACAGGGTGAAAAAGACTCCGAAATTTCCCTTATCAGACATGCCTGATGTAACTTTAATTTTTCTCTATCACGGTATGCTCAAAAGGCCCTGACTGGGGCATGATCAGGCATGCCTGCTTAAAATTTGGAATTTATTGGTAAGGTGAACATGCAATGGTCCCCTTCAGGCCCTGATCTGGCATGCCGTAATCAGGGATACCGTATCGATACCGGAGCAGGGCCTTCTCTGCCAAAAGGTTTGCCTGACGAAATTTCTGCTCGAGGAAAAATCGCACACGGAGATAACGAAATAGTAAACATTGTCATGGCCATAGGAGGAAATACTTTGATGGGAGTTTTCGACTAACTCCACATAGTAATCTTTATTTTGTCGTTTAGTAAACGCTACAATGGCCCATGATCTACTGTACTATTTTGCACATGTTAACAATTAGGAGGTAACATGGAGAAGCTTATCATGGAAATGTTGACTATGTCTACATGGGAACAACTACCATATCCCATAAAAATAGTCCCCTATGAGCATAGAAAGTATTGACTTCTGATGCGTTCGCGTAATTAGATCCTTATTATTCGGAAAAATACACTGAGAGAACAGTTGGAGAAAAATTATCTTGAAAATCTCGGAAAACTTTACTATACGAAAGGTAACCGTAGAGCGAAATGTAATAGACGGAAAAATAGGTTTTGTTTGGTCCAAAAATCATATTTATGGGTACAAAAATTACGGTTCCCTCTACTGTAAAATTTTCCGCTCTGGCAGAATAGTTTTTTCGGGTACCGATGCGAAGGGCAAAGAAACAGACGAACGTAAAATTTTACTATACTGCGTTTGATAAAAAAAAATCTGTTCCATTACAGTAGATTGTCTCTAATTCGACGACTCTCTAATCCACAAAATTTCCCCTCCGAGCCTGCCCTCCCTCCAAGAACGTTTCACCACTCGTGGAATGTTATCCATCCTTGTCCATGACGTCATTCGCGCAAAATTGCGCAAACGAGATAAATTGAATGTGGCCCATCTACGTGTTACCGACAACCATAACCTCTTAAAACGGAAAAATGTCGACACCCGGCAAAAAACGTAAACATGTCTCTACTCAAATCGACTTCAAGTTGCGAGCGGTGAATAAAATAAATAATGATACTTATTAATTATTAATTAAGAAATATGTACTTAGACAATTCGTCATTTCCTCACCGTAATGAAGTTTAAATGCAACGAAAATGTGATTCATCATAATATTTATTTAAAAATTTAGATCCATGAGTCATAGGTGTCTAGTATTTTTCAAGTTTAAACAAAGTTGAGAACACCCATCTGATAATAACATTTAACAGAAGTGATATTATTAATTAAGAAATATGTACATAAACAATTCGTTATTTTCTCACCGTAATGAAGTTTAGATACAACTAAAATGTGATTCATCATAATATTTGTTTAAATATTTAGACCAATGAGTCATAGTTGTCTAGTATTTGTTAAGTTTAAACAGAGTTATAATTCAACTCAATTGTTGTAATACCAATTAGTATTATTAGCATCAAGGGTTAATGTACCTGTCATTTTTCAAATAAAGTTATAATGATTACATTTTTATTCTTATTGTTGACGGCTCTCATTTGACAGTCATAGGTTATATTGTTTTTCCCCTCCTACAATCTTTATTGCGTAACTCCCCACTAAGCAGACCATTCCTACACGCTCACACTGCTCAACGATAGAACAGAGTGGGGGGGAACTCTCCTATCCGAGATTCGGAGAAAATTATCCAAGGACACGTCCCGAACCCGTCGAATTAGAGAGAATCTACTCTAGAGAAACATTCTTACACATGTGTGAACCATTATTTCATATTGAGTAATTATTAAAGTTCATCGGCGTTATTTTTTAGGGAATTCCGCGTAAATTTTACCAGTTCAAAAGAAATTATCCTTACGTTTAGTACATTTTACGGATGAGTCAATGAAGAAAAATTCACTTCTCGTCTCGCACTTTTTTCCCCGATGTAGGGTAAAAAAGACCTAGAAATGAATTCCGCTCGACGATAACTTGATTTGTTTGATAATTTTTTTCCAACTTTTTTCTATGTGAAGGTATTATAGAGCCATAGTTCTCTGATTCTCAGCACGGAAAAAAAATGTACTTGAATTCAGTATCAAATATACTTGATTCAAGTATATTATTCTTGATTCGTGTATGAAATATACTTGATTTAAGTGTATTATTCTTGATTCAAGAACATTCATATACTCAATTGGGGGATGGGTATTTCAATTCGGAGATGATTGTTTTGTATCAGGCAGGATTATAGCAAGCCCTCTTAAGTGTAATATAAGGGTCAGGCACCAAGTGTCAGGATATTAGGGTTAAAATACACAGAAAAAATAGTGGATTAGTTTTAGAAAAAAGTTTCTAAAGTTGAGGGGGGAAGGGGCGGGGGATTTAGTAGATTTTAGAAACTTCAATTCTTAAGCTCTATCCTTCATCATAAAAACTACCGAATTTGGGGATTGTTTTTAAGAGCAAATATTTTCTAAAACACATGCTGAAATTTTCGAAATTGTAGAATATTTTCAGATTGAACTAAAAAATTGCGGCCAAGGTATTTAAAGGGCGTAAATGCCCCATACATAGGGAGGGGCGCCCAACTATCGGGAATTTCAGTTGTGAGAAGGGGAAATTTTGCAAAGAGGGGGAGGGGAATTTAGCGAATTGTTTCCTGAAAATTTGAGGGGGGTGTGCATTGGGAATTCACAACCAAAAAGATTGAGTGAAAATTCAATAAAACTTCCCTCCCCCCTCCCCAGATTTTCAGTAAAAATTCGCCATCCCTTACTTTCGGACATATTTTTGAAACAAATACCGCCGACTCAATTTTTTGGATTGTGAATTCTCAATTCACAACCCCCGTCCCTCTTTTTGCAAAATCCTCCCTGAAATATTACAGAAATTTTCTAGACTTTAGACAATATTTTTTCCAAAATTAAGTATATTTTGGTTTGAAATTAATCTCCATTTTGATCATTAATGTTAAATGATTCTTTTCTAAAACTTGGACAAAAGTTTCTAGATTTTAGAATACTGAAGGTTAGAAACCACGATTTGTAAAATTTAGAAACTTTTTTCTAAAGCTTATCCATTTTTTCTCTGTGTTTGACCCTAATAATCTGACCCTCATTTTTTAAACTCTACTTTTTGATCCTTATATTCTGCCACTTAGTGCCTAACCTTTATATTACACTTATTGATATTACACTTATATTTTACATTCTTCTGCTAATCTTTCCTAAAGAAACCGATAATTGCTGATAATGATGAGTGAAAAGTTGGACTCGTCGGGATTCAATCCTGGAACCTTCGGGTTGCTAGTCCTTGACCTTACCCACTCGGCCACCGTAGAGTTGTTAGTTACGACGAAGTTTATGGAATATATGAATGCAATATTGCATTCTTATTTGATTCTCTAATTTTCTTCAATTATGGAACTCAATATAGATATGAGAAACAACG